TGTGTGCTTTGATATTCTTTGCTATGCAGCAGTGTGTAAACTTTACCTTTTAGATTTCATTTGCTCTCTCAGTTTGCTGTACATCTCCAGAACTGGAAGGAGGGGGGAGAGAGAAAAAAAACACACACATTAAGACAAAATATAGGAAATGAAATCCAAATGAAACTGTACTAGTAGCAATGATCAATTTCAAATCCTCACCAGGAAGACATAGTGTTAGTTTATCGACAGTAGCAGAAATATTTCTCTGTTGTAGTCGACACTGTTTCAGTTCTTCCATTGATACTACCAACTTAAAGAGAAGAAAAGAAAACCGAATTATGCCAATAGCAGTAAACAAGCAGCTTGTATGTATATGTCTCCACGATGTTCACATCTCTCACCAAATTCCCAATGGTAGGTCTACCACAATGCTGCCCTGGGGCCCAGGGATTCAAAAGGACCCAGGCTCCTGACTGCCTCTGCCACTATTGCAAGAGCGACTGGAGCCTTTGACCCTTTACATTACTGCTGGAGCCCCTGGAGGCCTGGCAGGGGAGGCTCCTTCCAGATCTGCACCCTCCCCACCTTGCCCAGGGCCCTGGAAAATCTGTCAGCCTCCTGGTAGTCACATAGTAGGGAAGAATTTCAAAACCAGAGGAAGTTACTAAGCAAAGTTCTAGGTCTGTGTATTGCAATAGGTGAGACTAGCACATGGTGATCCTTTTTGGAAAATCTAATTGTACTCCCCTCCACATATGCATCTCCTCCTCCTTGCATAAGAGCTACAACCCTTTAGGGCAGCACAGGAGTCAGCAAAAAGGGCTGTAAACAGGGGAGTTTGAGTGGGAGTTCTGTTGGAGAACGTAGGAAGCAAGTCCCTGGTTCTTGGGGGCACTGAGTCTTTTGGGGGAAGTCTTTGGGGGAGGGTCCTTGTTCAATTTGTGGAATCTGGTAAGGGCAACATACCAGGAGAGAAACAGAGGCTTGGTTAGGGGCCCTATAAAGGCAACCAGCAAGCAGCACAAGAGCTGGCAAACACGTGTAAATGGGGGAATTTGAGTGGGTGTTCAAGAAGGGCGCTGGGAGGCGCAGCACGTGTGGGGTTCTGGTGTTTATTTGGGGGTTCGGTTGTTTTCTTTGAGGTTCTGGGGAGTTTTGGTTTCCCTCTTTGGTTGATTTGTTTGTTTTACTGCTTTGAGTTTGTCTTCCCCCAGAAGGTTTTCCAGCTCTAATCTGTTAGATGCATCAGTTCCAACCGCTCAGCTAGAGACAGATTACCTCTCCAGCACACTTTTCTAGTGGTTGTCAAATTTTAAGTGGCCTGGGTATCACAGCTTCCACCACTGGCTTGGGGAGACTAAGGGTAGATCTACACTACGGGACAAAGGCGAATAAAGACCCGCAACTTCAGTTACGTTATTTGCATAGCTGAAGTCAAAGTCGCTTTTGGCACTGTCCACACTGCAGGAAGTCAAAGGGAGAACACTCTTCCTTTGACTTCCCTTATTCTTGTGGAAGCAAGACTGCTGGCATTGACTGGAGAGCCCCTCTCAGGTCGGACTGGTTGTCTTTACTAGACCTGCTACTTCGAAAACTGGAAGAGCAACAGTGGCAGCTTCAAATTTCCTCTGTAGTGTAGACGTACCCCAAGTCCTCACACCATCCGGTCATCTTCCTTTCCCTTCTCCATGGGTTCTTCTACTGCATTGGGCCAATGCGTACCTTCACGCCTTTGAGTAGTGCATTAAGCAATGTAACTAAAGGGTCTGGTTTTCTCATCCTCAGCCCAAAGAGAGATGTGCAGGGGAATGTTTTACTTTGGGTTTCCCTTCTTCATACACAAACTCACAGGGTTATCTTGCAGTTCACTCCGGAGTGAGTTCATTTCACAATCTTGGGCTGACACCCAAGAGAAGCTCTGTCGCTCGCATAGAAGAACTTGACCCTTATTTTAGTGAGTTCCACTGTGCCTGAAGAGCAGAGCTGTTGGCCACAGTCTTCCTTCCGTAAACAGAACCTCTTTCTTTCCCAACATCAAGTCAGATTTTTCCTTCTCTGAATCATACCCCTTTATTCTCGTGGTTATGCCTCCCTGGGTCAGCCTAAATGATCCTTTTCCTCCCCCGTCTCCCTCCCCACTCCTTGGTGGTGACTTATTTCAGGCTCTTGCACACAATCGTCGCCTCAGCCGTCACTCAGCTACTATTTGGCTCTCAATCTCTTTCAGAGCCGGTCCTAGGGCTGCATGAACAATGCACTTGCCAGCAACACGCGTCTGAGGTTGCAGTTTCTCAAAACACTTATTTACCACAGGGAACATTGGCAAGAAGGTGGAATGGCTCTTTTCCACCCCTGACGCCCATAAGCCAAGGTACTTAGCTTGAAAGTACTGGCAAGAAAGTGAATTTATTTGTGAACTAGGAAGATAGAAGAGGCAAGAATAGCAGAAGATTTCTATGGAAGTAAGGGGCAAGTAGTGAATCTCTCTCCAGGAGGAGAAGACGATGACTTACAGAAATAGGGATTTCTAGACACTTTGTATATAATATATATGTATGCACATAAATGGCACAGATCTTTATTTATAACTTCAGTGCCTCTAGCTCACTATTCAATTATGTTGCTATCCTGCAAATTCCTTTCAATCTTTTGATATCCCTTTAGTTTTAAGATGTAGAAGCCTGACAGCAGTTGGAAGAGGAAATCATATCCAAAATGTATACAGCTTCACATGCTCCATGATTTGATGCTGCCACATAAGCGGCTGAAAGCCACAGTGACTTTCACCACTGCCATAGTGCTCTGCCGATTAGGAGCCTGATCCTTCAGAGTTTATTGACAGTAATGGGCGGAGGGGGAGGGGGAAGAGGAGAAGAAATCAAGCCCAATGCTTATGTATTATCACTTCAAAGTCTTCCTGCTTGCCAGCTTTACCCCACCACTAAGTTTCAATCCACAAATTATGGAAGGGAGAGTTACTTCAGACACATCCCTATTGCATTTAATGAAAATGAAGTACTGGTATCACAAGCATTATACAACTTCAGCACTATTATCACAAGTTATCAAGAGCATTGCCCACACAGCTGTGGACTTCTGAAACACAGGCCTGTGCAATCTAACACTACTACAGTACAGGCTGAACCTCTCTAATCCGGCACCCTCGGGACCTGACTGGTGCCAAACCAGAGAATTTGCCAAACCATGGGAGGTCAATAATATCTAGCAGCATTACCAACACTTCCACTGCTTACTGACATTTAGGGGTGAACTAGAGCTACGTACCAGCACAGAACACTGAGCGCCAGCACCGGTGGCTATAAACAAACTTTATGGGACCACAGGAAACTTGGCCACACTCATGGTAAGTGGACACCCACCCAACAAAAATCATGGCGGACCATGGATGCTGCTGGACCAGAGTGTTCCACACTAGAGAGGTTCAACCTGTACATTAAAATAGTCAAAGCAGATCGATCATATACAGGAGACTTAAAAATATGGGGCTTACGTCCTTCCCTTCATTCTGCAGTTTTCTATTTGTGTCTGTCACTTGATGCTGTGGGAGGAAAAGAGAAAAAAAACAAAAAAAACCACATTAATTATAAAATGTATATGTAATCAAGAGGTTGTTTTGGTTGACTGCACAGGAACCTTTACTATGGGTTTCACCAGTTTCCATGCAACATCTTAGAATTTTCTCCTGCCATTCCCGCAAAATAGAAGTAGCTCGTTTGGGGTTGTGTGTCCATCAAAAGACATACTGTGCATTTTGACTTCAGGAAAGACCCCAACAGCAGCCCAGATGATATGAAGGTGGCCAAACAAGAGTTTCATGCCATCGGTGGAACACAGCAAGGAGTAACACAGCTATATGCCACCTTGAAAACCTGTGCCCCCATAGCACAATATTGTACAACTGTTGCTCATGTCATGTAGTACCTCACTAATTGAATTCAATTCTATACAAGTAAAGGAGGCACAATCTAGCCCTGCAACTCAAGTGCATTTTTTCTGAACGTGAATGGCTTCTTCAACACTGACTAGCAGCCACTGAACTCATTTTTTTTGTTGGGTCGTTTGAGGCTACCTCTAGACTGCAGGGCTAAATTGGAAAAAGATATGCAATCGCCATCTTCACCTACGGACCCCAGCTTGCCTGGATCCGGCTTCTGCGGCTTAGGGCTCCCCTCCCTCCAACACTGGGGAGACTGCTGCCACTCCAGCACCCCCATTATCCCACCAGGCAGCTGGAGTACACAACAACTACTTGCCTGGGAGTCAACAGCCCCTGACTCAAAAAAGGCTCCCCACCCCCAATCAATATAAACCCTGACAGGTGTCTGTCTGTCCATCACTGGAAATATTTGAGAGCAGGTTGGAGATTCCACAACGTCCCTAAGCAATTTATTCCAGTGTTTAACCACCCTGACAGGTAGGGAGTTTTTCCCTAACGTCCAACCTAAACCTCCTTTGCTGCAGTTTAAACCCATTGCTTCTTCTCCTATCACCAGAAGCCAAGGAGAACAATTTTTCTCCCTCCTTCTTGTAACGCCCTTTTAGGTACTTGAAAAGTGCTATCATGTCCCCTCTCATTCTTCGCTTTTTTAAACTAAACCAACCCAATTTTCAGTCTTCCCTCATAGCTCATGTTCTAGAGACCTTCAATCATTCTTCTTGTTCTTTTCTGGACCTTCTCCAATTTCTACACATCTTTCTTGAAATGTGGTGTCCAGAACTGGACAATACTCCAACTGAGGCCTAATCAGCGCTAAGTATATTAACTAGCGGTTAATTGACTAGTCGATGGAATTTCCATCAACTACTCAATAGGCACTTCCGCATTCTTCCTTTGAAATGTACAAGAGGCCCAGCAGGACGACTGCGGAATGCCGCGTGCAGCCCGAGGCCAGAGGGAAGTCCTGTTGACTTTGGGCTGCATGCAGGTGCCAGCTTTGAAATGCACAAGAGTCCCCAGCAGGGGCTCTTGTGCATTTCAAAGTGGCAGCATAGCATGGAGCCCGGGGTCAGCGGGGGACTCAGATTCCCCCGCTGACCCCCATGCTCCATGCTACACTGCCACTTTGAAATGCCGTGCTGGAGCCGAGATCAGCTGTGCAGCGCTGCAACTTTGAACGCCACCTTGGCTTTCAAAGGGGCAGGGCCTCACAGCTGATCCTGGGATCAGCTGTGTAGCACGTGGAGCCCAGGATCAGCTGGGGACTCCCCCACTGATCCTGGACTCCAGCACAGCATTTCCGCAGAACCTGGGATCAGCTGGGGACTCCCCAGCTGACTGCAGGTTCCGCATGGCATTTCCCCAGAACCTGGGGTCAATTCCAGGTTCCATGGAAATGCCACATTAGTGCCTAGGATCAGCCTGCGAGTCCCCAGCTGACCCCGTGCTCAACGCCACCTCACCATTCCAAAGTGGCAATGCCACACAGCTGATCCTGGGCTCAGCTGTGCAGTGCTGCTGCTTTGAAGTATCCCCGTTTCCTGCCACTGATAGAGGCGGGAGGGGGGGGCGGAGAATGACTAGTCTTTAACATCCCTAATCAGCACAGAGCAGAGCAGAAGGATTACTTCTAACGGATAAGCAAAGGACACCTGAACAGATATGGCTGTGCAAACCTCCCCATCCTGCACCAACGTGACCAGGAATACTAAAATTCTATAGGTGGGGGAGGATCATTCAGTCCCCATAAGCCATTCAGTCCTTTACGTCTCTTACAAGGACACCGGCAGGAGAAAGTCACAAGGTTGAGGGGAGGATCTTTGATATAAAAAGAGAACCATTGCAGAGTGGCCGCTGATTGGCCATCAGGTGGCAGTGACTTTTCGCCACTTCCAAACTCGAGTCCAATTTACACTACTGATCTAGCAGTGAAAGGTTTTAACCAATCACCCCAATAGCAGTTGCCTGAGCTGTCCAGCCCTTACAGCTGCCAGAATTTTTAAACTGCAAGCGATTGATACCATAAACTTATCGCATTGCAGACCAAGAATCGCCTCATGACTTATTTTGCAACTTCACCAAAACAACTGCCTAGCGGTGCTTCCTGCTCACCACCCGTCCCACCTCCTGCGTTAGGGTCAGTTCTGCTGGCTGACTGCCCTCCACAAAACCTGCTTGTTTCCTTTATGACGTCCTGAGATATTTGATGTAGGAACATGGGATCGCCACAAGATTACTTGACTGTCTTATGCCCTGAAAATCTAAGAATTCACGCAGGCGACTTCAAAACTGCCCTATTGTGTAGGTGACGACAAAACTGCCCCAAAAATGATGGCAAGTCTATACAAGTCTTCTATTAAAATTACACATCAATCCCAGCTAACGCAAAAAAGAACAGGAATACTTTCTACTCTTGCACATTTTCAGTGTTTATAGTCACAAACAGACAAAAAAATATAGATGGTTCCACAGACATGGAGTTTTCAGACAGATCTGGAGAGGTTATAATCTAAAACAGACATGCGCTGCAAGGGGTAACAAACAGCAGGTGGGGACATGGTAGTGAGAGATCATGAGAGGGACTTAGTTCATTCTTCTGTCTGTGGAACATGTGGTATCAAGCATTTGTTTCAATTAATTGTAATGAAGGGACAATAGGATGAAGAGCAGAAGAGTAACAAAAGGGCAACTGAAAGCAGTTCTGAGCAGAAAGATGAAGGAGACACTGTGCCGTGCACAGGGCTAAGGACATTAGGGTTCAATAATTTACAAGCCAAATAAGCAAAAGTTTACTTTAAAAAGCTAGGAGATTAAATGTGAAGAACATGAATCAGTGCAATCGTAAGGTTGCACCGTTATCCGACAGAGGAAGCAGAAGTTTCAATGCTGTTGTGATTAGAAATTTGTTCAGGTAAAAGTGATGGATCTGTTGCTGTGAATATTCAGTTACATCTAACCTGAAGAAAACACTCACCAACAGCCACACACCACACCCCAGCAACCTTTCCCTTCAATAAGCCTGCTGCCAACTCTGTCTACATAGCTATACAAGCGACACCATCACATCAGCCACGCCATCAGAGGCTCATCCAGCTGCACATCTACCAACACTATCTATGGCATCATGTGCCAGCTATGCCCCTCTGCCATCTTTATCGGCCAAACTGGACAGTCTTTGAACCAAAGGATAGATGGGCAAATCAGACATCAGAAAGGTAACACAAAAACTAACATCTCTGGACATTTAGTAACAGATTTAAAAACAGCCATCCTTCTATAAAAGTTTCAAACCCAGACTACGAAGAGAAGCAGCAGAGCTGCAATTCATTTGCAAATTTAGCAATCAAATTAGTACTGAATAAGGACTTGGAATGGTTCACTCACTATGAAGGCAAATTTCCCTCTCTTGGTATTCACACTTTCCCCATCAACTACTGGGAAGGAGCCATATCCACCCTGACTGAACTGGCCTCATTAACACTGGCCCTACACTTGGTAACTCTCTTCTTTAGATACGCTTGTGCGTGAGGGTGGGGGTGTATTTATCTCCCTACCTCTGATTTTGACTCCATGCATCTGACAGTGCATTTTACCCACGAAAGCTTAAACCCAAATAAATCTGTTCTCTAAGATGCCACAGGACTCCTCGTTTTTACAGTTGCACAAAAGGATACTTTTCTGGAAAAAGAGAATTTGCTACTGCTGTTAGCACAGCAGAGCCGATAAACTACAGTAGGGAGACCACAACCGAACCAGAATTCCTCTTCACTTTGTAACGAGTTCATGCCATGCTTCACCCCAGCAGTGTTGGCACCTCAGTAGCATGCCAGGGGATGCGATTGAGCCCTGTTCTTTATGAAAGGTAATACTGTAAATACAAGATTACACAGGACTCCAGAACCTTCAACACAAGCATGGATAAACGATAAATGCTGCAAGGCAATACTGATGTAGATTTAATGCCTCTGCTATGGAACTGTGAGAGACAAACTACTGAGGAATAAAAACAAATACTGTAGAGAATGAATAGTTGGGACAAAATGAATGCTCTCCAGGGAAACATTCACAATGAGGAACTGGCTCCTCTTCAAACAGATTCCTGAATATTCTTACCTTAGATGATTTTATGAATCAGATGGTCTATGGAAACTGAGGGATCCCCAAGGGTATAGGAATGGACCTCAGTGTGCCACCAAGAAAGAAGTAAGTTGTAGACAGAGAAACCACAAGTCTTTCAAAGAATGGGGTATTCTTCACTAGAAAAAATGGTACAAGAAAAAATCCCTGCCTACACCACACTGTAGGATGGTACCCTGTGTGTGTAAAACCTGAAGCCCTGCAAAGATGTGCCTTACACATGCACTGCAATAAAGAAACGTACTGTTAGTTGTAAAACCTCAGTGTATTGGAAGCTGAAACTTTTCTTTACTCTCGAAAAAATTTGGGGGGGAAATTTAGTGTACAGGTTGAACCTCTCTAATCCGGCACGCTTGGGATCTGACTGGTGCCAAACCAGAAAATTTGCCAAACCACATGAGGTCAATAGGGTCTAACCGCATTACCAACATGTCTACTGCTTATTAGGCTCTTAGAAGACATTTAAGGGTAATTTTGAGCTAAACAGCAGCACAGAACACAGAGCCAGGACTGGTGGCTATAAACAAACTTTATGGGACCACAGGAAACAGCCACACCTATGGTAAGTGGACATCTAGCTAACTAAAATCATGCCGGACCACGGATGTGGCCAGATCAGAGAATTCCAGATTAAAGGTTCAACTTGTATTCTTTCCTACCACATCATCTGCACTTACACATCCATACAACTACTCAAAGGTCCCACACCAGGTTGCCCCAGCCTTTCAGTTGAGAAAGGCTAGTTGTGTCGTACTCTGGAGGCAATCAAGGTGTCTTTGGGGGAGTGATGTCACTAAAGAGCCAGCAATTCACACTCCTTGGATGTGGCTCCTAGGAGCAGAGCGTGCGTATAGCACAGGCACAGGCACCTTCCCCAATTCCTGAAACTCAGAAAAAGTGTTTTGTTCAGATACTGTGTTTTTAAAAAGTGTGCACTTCCCTCCATTGTAGGATACAGTGTCAGAGATTGTTCTGAGGTCACCTGTTACTCCACTGGCACGGCCACCTAGATCAGCCTCTGCCATCATTTGGATTCTCCATTTCCCCTCAGAGCTCATGCCTAGGTGGCTTGCTGATCTGTACTTATAGCTGATTTCATTCAGGGAACTGGCATATGCGATCCCAGCAAAGGCACGCTTGCGGATATAAAGTGTGCCTACACTAGAAGGGTTTGCTGGTTTAACTGTAGTGATCTGAAGAACCAACAAAGCTTTTCTAGAATAGATGAAATTTCTCAGTCCTCTGTGTTTCCACTAGCGAATTTCAACCCACAGCCAACTGGCATAGCTCAAATTAGAGCAATTTTGCAGGGTGCGTCTATACTGTAATGAGGGGGCAGGGAATGACTGCAGATCATGAAGGCATAACCAACCTAGCTTTGATCTAGCTAGGATATCAATAGAAACGAAGCCACAGCAGCACCCAGTGTGCAATCCTCCCAGGGGCTGAGTTATAAACACAAGACCGCGCAGAAGTTAATGCTATTGTGGACTTACACTATTGGTATCAAAGCTAGCTCACATATGCCTACATGTGCTGCAATCCCACTCCCAATTGCACTGCAGACATGCCTAGAGGGACCATACTCCAATGTAAACGAATTAGCAGCTGATCAGCTGTAAGGCGAGCTACTGCAAGCCCAGCTGCATTACTGGCTTGAACTGCTGCCCATCCCTCCTGATGGACTAGCTAGGTCAAGCTTAAATCGACCCTTAATTCAAGCTGCACGTGTGCGCACGCACCTGTGGGGGAGTCAGGTTAGAAGCTAAACTCAAGCTACACCTCAAGCTTTACCAATGTGGCAAAGAAAATCCTTAAGTCCGTAATGACAAAAATCTCACTCCTCCACAGTATTACCCTTTGATGACTGCATGATTAGGTCTCTTCGACATTTCTCTTTTACCTTAAGCTTCTGGGCTTCTCCCCTCACTTTCAGGAGCTCCGTGATAGAATCTACAAAGCCCTGGTAATGGAAGTTGCACATTTTCTCAATCTCTCGGTCATGGTTTCGAATTCGGGCTTCCAGTTTTTCCATGAAACGACCATGCTCTTCACCGTCATAGACAGACCTAAAGAAGAGAGTTTCCAAAGAGGTTAGAATTGTGTTGCCAGCTTTATATAATGACTTTGAATACATTCACAAAAAGCGAGTCAAACAATAACCAAAGGCCACTGGACCAAGTCGGGAGGTGAAGTGGAGTTTTACTTCTGTTTTAACTCATGTTTTCTTCTTTTCCATTCAACAAACATTTGCTTTCATTCCTCTCCCCCCCCTAGGCCACAATGTGTCTATTCAGAGCACAGGTAACTGGATACAGAACCTTTCCCCTCTATTTAGGTAGGAGTTCAAGTCCAGGTAGGCCAGGAGAAACCAAAGCTTGCTCCTATTTGACAGGATATTGGTGGTCTTTATTAAATGGCTGAGCGCCTCAGATCAACTCCCAGGATGTCAAGTCACATCAGAAAAGCAGTCTCTGCTGACACACACTGACCCCTTGTTAGCAAAGTAGAGCTCTGAAAATACAGGGATAGCCACTTTATATCCATGAATATCCACATCCAGATATAAGTGTGGATATCCATGGCTCATTTTGGCAGATACAGATGCGGTTACAGACAAATTTTGTAACTGTGCTGGGTTCTAGGAATAAGTGGAGCATGGGACTGAAATTCCCACACCTCCCGAGGGGTTTTCCATTATCAGAGATAATAAACACATGGGCAGGAAGACATGGGAAGGAGGAGCTTGAATTCATCCTCCAAAGGAGTCAATCCAACAAACCACCATATGCACTAAATTCACATACAAGGAAGTCATTCCAAAGGAATTATTGGGTTCCCATATTTATTCTAACAGAGCACTCCCATGAAAAACATCTGATTACTCCTTGCACTGAAAACTTAATCTGACACCTATATCAAACAAAATCAGGAAACTGTTCTTTCTGCTCCATACATCAGAGAAAGATGCAGTAATAGCACCATCACGGACAATTCTGTGAGGCAGACTAGATTACAACTCATCTATATTATCTCTGCATGGCTAACAACCTTGGTTGTGGCAGCAAAATAAGCAGATGTTACGCCAGAAAGACAAAAGAGTGATGCAAAGTAGGAAAGGTATTTTTTCTAATTGTAAGCACATTAATTTCTTAGCATGAATGGAAAGGTATTAAATACAGGATTACAATAAATAGGACATTCTGAAGACTGTTACAATTTTAACATGTCTAACTCTGAAGCCAACCTTCTTGACCGACTCTGATTCTCCTGCAAACCTTATAGTGTGTTAAAAAGTGATGCTATGTACTTCAATGTTAAATTGCGTTTAAACAGCCACCGACTACTCAATTAGTTGAGAAGGCGGCAAACTGCAGAGCCACACCAGGGTTAGCTCCTGACCCCAGGAGCTAACCCCGCTGCTGCTCTGCCTTTTAAATGTATAAGAGCCTGGTGGCTCTTAATACATTTTAAAAAATTAGAGGTGCAGCCAGAAGGACCGAATGCGAGCCGGGAATCAGCTGCACTTCTGCTTTATAAACGTATTCCTAACTCGTGTGCCGTGTCCCCCCCGCCCCCAGCTGCGCCTCTGCTTTTTAAATGTATTAAGTGCCTGGTGGCTCTCAATACATTTAAGAAACAGAGGCGCCGTGTCTGGAACCAGGCACTAGCCCGGAATCAGATGATTCCCAGCTCATGCCTGGTGTCCCCCAATATGCCTCTGCCTCCCCTGTCCCCTACCCCGGAGATAGGGCTAGGGGGAAACCAGCTTTTAAGTCAGCTTCCCCCAGCACTGACTTCTCCCCCCCCCCTCCCCCCCCCTTGCTGACTGTCTGATAGAGGCAGCAATGAGGGGGGAAGCTACTAAGTCGAGTATCTACTCGACTATTTGGTAAGCATATGCTCATTGGGTAGTCAACTAGTTGCTTACATCCCTAATGTAATTTCAGTGATGGACTACCTTAATTCATTACTGCTGTCCCGTGATTTGCAAGGTTGGGGATGAAAAGGTAACATATCACAAATACAAAAAACCCCACACCACTCAACAGATATATCAAGTAACTTTTTAGTGTGTTTGTGGGGGGGGAGGGGGGGGGAGAGAGTCAGCTAGGTGTCGTCTAATGGATATTTTAAGTAATTCTGTGGGAGAAAAGCACCTAAGTGATTTAGGAACACACATCTCTGGCTTTTGGTAGAATCTGTTGTGCCTTGTGCTCCCAAATCATTTGAAAATTTCACCTTCTGAACTCTAGAGAGCATCCATCATTGTCTACAGCAGTGGTTCCCAACCTGTGATCTGCGGGTCCATGGAAAGTTAAAGGAAAAAGAAGAGAAGTAAAGATCAGGCCAACAGAGAGACTGGCACTTTCCACCAGATGATTCTTGCCCTGGGCTCACCGTTTGTGACCACCCGCACGCACGCTGCCTCCCGCCCTCGGGATGGGATCTTGATACCCCAGGAGGCACCATCCATCCTCCCGCCGCCAGCTGTGCTGCCGTTTACACTTCAGCCCTCTCTTCCCTCCCGGTCCCGCAGTAGGTCCAATCCTTTTTTTTTTTTGGTCACCTCCAGGGCTGTGTGTCCGGCTAAGGGCTCCGTGCCAGGGCAGGAGCTGCCTTTGGCCACGAGAGCCCCCTCGCCGTATCCGCAGGGGACCGAGGGGGCGGGAGCTGAGTAAGCAGCGTGGGCCAAGAGATGTGCTGGCTGTTGCTTCCTGCTGCTTCCTTTGGGGGTGGGAGGGTCCCTAAAATTGACAGATTGAAAAAGAGTCTGCATGCTCAAAAAGGTTGGGAACTACTGGCCTACAGTAAAAAAAAAAATCAAAATAGGATTAAGCACTTAAGGATAATTATTCAACATTTTCCCTTATGTGGTATATTCTAATTCTTACAACTGAGTTACGCACTTTCAAATCTCCCAGTCTCAGAAGAGCTGCAAGAGAGTTGCAACCCTGTATACTTAGGGTCTTTACTTATTCTACACTGATTGCAAAAGAAAGCTTTTAAATAAATCCAATTCTACGCACATTTCATGGCAATTGATAAGCAGAGTAAAAGAAGCACGCAATTCTTTGAAGTTCACAACACAGCTGCCTTCTGTGATACTTTTTTCCAAAGGTGGAAACTGGATATCTGAAGAGACAGTGGCTTGACATGCACAAAAGCTAGGATGTTACCACCATACCGATGATGGTAGTTTTTATTGCGCTGTAATCAGGTAGAGTTTGACCAATGACTATTTAGAAGTTAGAGAGAGACTGCCACCTAGTGGTGGTCTGTTTATTCGCAATGTTCCTTAGCATCCTAAATCAACACTGCACATCCGTGCTAATTACCTGTATCTTAGCTACAATCCAAAAAGATACATGTATACTAGCATACGTATTATTCAGCTATAACACTCCTTGGAGGACTTTACTATCCATTTTCTTTTACATTGAAACACCAATTGAAAAAGCTCCAAGCTGACATAATGTAGTTCCACCAAGGGAAAAATACTGTTTTGCATTTATAGAACACCTATTATCCAAGAGTCTCGATAGGATTTATGAACACTAAGCAAGTCTCACATCTCCCTCTTTTACAGATGGCAAAACCAATACAGACATCCAGTTATGTATTCAAGGCCAAAGAATGTGTCAATGACAGGCAGCAACAAATCCTAGGAGCCTTACATATCAATCAGCTTCAACTTCACACAGCTAAAGCCAAATCCTCTGTGTTCCCTTCCAAACTCTTTCATCCCTATCCACACCACCGCCATCCTCCCTGTCACTACGGCCCATAAGACAGGCATCTTCGTCAATGCCACTTTGATCGCCAAGCCCCAAACATGCAGGCCACGTCCAAACCTTGCAGTTTCTTTCTCCGCAGCGCCTCCAAGCTCCCTGCACATTGACACTGCCCACATTTGGGGTTTGTAGACCACAATCCTGGTCCTGCAATGAACCCTATGTAGGCAAACTACCGCGCCTAAGGAGTGACCCACAGACTAACAGGACTCTGTATGGGTGAAGGGGCCCATCTGGGCTCCCTGCAGGATCAGGGCTCAAAATCTTATATAGGATGCTAAAATTTAAGGCTTCTTGAATAAAGGGAAAAGCTCCTTTTTCCAGCCTTTAAACCAATTAAGGCCACATTATTTCTTTCTGCCAACACAGCTACCCCATTTTAAACTGGAGTCACTAACCTATGGTTGTCATATCATCTTGGGTATCAGCACCCCCTTCAAGGTATTAAGAACAAAAAGAACCATTATGATAATCTAGCCTGATCTCTTGCTTACGCAGTCACAGAACTTCACCCAGTAATTAATGCCTCAAGGCCATATCTTCTGCTTGGGCTAGAGCATAGCTTTTAGATTTAGACACACACCATCTTGACTTCCTATCCTCTCAACTCACTGTTCTCATTTGCTTAGTGACTGCCCAATCTGACTCAATGCCAGTTCCACCACTCAGCTGTTCTTCTCAATTAAATGCTGTCATTTACTCATTCCTGCCACTTAAATTTACTGCTAAGTATCAGGGGCAAGACAGGTGAGACACTTGTAGAAGAGCTTCATAGAACTCAATCTCGTCTTTCACCAACAGAAATTGGTCCAATAAAAGATACTGATTTATCCATCCTGTAGGTCTAATATCCTGACACCAATACAGCTTCAACAGTGTTAATTAGTAGGTATTTTGGCCACAATACACTCTGCTGTTGGATCACCTCTCTCCCCATACTGGCTCAGCTCTCCCCCTTTACTATTCACATTCCTCCTGCAGACTCTGACCTATACTTATTTGCCTGCTTATACCTATCGGCATCCATCTCCCAACGTACAACCATTTTCTCCATTTATTCCTCTCGGCCTCACTTCTAACCTTCCATGGGACTCTATTCCATTTTCCTCCAGGCTGAAATGCTGGAAAGCCCTTTGAAATCTTCCAGCAGGAGTTCTGTATAAGTGCTCTTTTTATGTCTGCCCATTGGATGGTTTTGTTTACTGAGCACATAAATATTTAAAAAAAAAAGTGTAACAACCTTTTTAACCTTTAAAAAAAAAAATCCAGACTCA